GGTCTATTGAAAAGAAATAATTTGCTTATTTATACATACGTGCAAGTTTCATACATGGCTATTTTAAAAAAAAAGCTTGACATTCTCACCACACTTACTTTGCATTTGAATGAAGTTTCAGGAAGAACTGTTTACAGTCCTAGAAAGTGGCATCATTCTTAAACGATATATAGGCGCCTTGCACTTTTGTAGTCATCAGTTTAACTTTGAATCAAACATGTAAACCACCTGTCTGTATAGAACCAAGACTTGAACAGTCAGGATTTTTAATTCTATCTAGCAACCCTTCTTCTGGAGTTATATTACTACTTTTAAATGATTATCATGCAAAAAAAACCCCGCAATGTAAATATAATTTTCCAACCTAACTTGGGATCAGATAGACAACACCTAAACCAAAGAGGAAATGCCAACATCAGTGAGATAATGAAATGCATGATCATCTCTCAGATTTGTGAAACACAATGAAGTTTAATCAAATAAAAATAGTTACATTTACTTGTATTTAAATGCTTAGGAAAGGCACCAGCAATCAAAAACCAGAAAAATACAACATTCTTTAGTGTATTAGAACGCCCCCCCCCCCCCAATGACACATGGTGGCAGATCACAAAGAACATTCCAAATCTTAAACTACACACTAAGAAACTTGGTTATATAAAAGTATTTGCCTTATTACTATTGCTATAACTATCTAGGTTCCCTTTTGACATTTGACAAACCAGAAGGACACCTTTAGGGTCTGATCCCCTATTCCTGGTATACACAAAACTCCTGTTGAAGTCCATGGGATATTGGGGAGCATGGAGAATGCAGTATCAGGCCCTCACTAATTTGCTCACTGCTCAACTAACAATGAAATCTTACCAATAGGCAAGACTATACAACCTGTGACAGACGTAGGAGACCCCCATTTTTAATTTTTCTGATTTGCAGGACACCTTTAGGTTGCTCAGCACTAACCTTTCTAAAAGGAGTATTAGAATACTATAAAACAACTTGATGTTAAATAATAATAGTAATAATAATAATAATGAGAGCTAATGTATCCTGATCTGACAACAGAAAGGTTTAACATTCAAACCACTATTTATGTGTTACTGCTAGGGCATCAGATTTCTATCTGGAAAAGATTATTTTATAAAAAAAGAGATAGCTATGTTTTTATCTATCTATTTTTAATTACATTTTATGAATGATCAGTTTATTAGTACCTCAATTTTCAACTGACTACAGCATATAAACAAATGTCGAGCAGCCTGAGACCCTGATCCTGCTCCCACTGAAGCCAGCGGGACGTTTGACATTAACTTCAGTGAGAGCAGCATCAGGCCCTAACTCAGATTTGGACTCAGGGAAGAATTGTATGGTATGAGTCAAAGCTGTGCACAAAAGAAAATGTAAATAAAGCAAAGCAGAGAAATATTATAGACTTTGAAAAAGTTTATGATTCTTCAAATACCATGAGCAATAGACTTTTCAAACTGGGATCGTTTTTTTTTTTTTTAAGAAAAGATTTATGATCAACCTCAGTGGGAATTTAGTGTGTGTGGAATGCAGGATTGGGCCCTACATGTTTATATTGAACAATGATAAATTTTCATAGCTGGGAAACTCAACTTGAACTGCAGTTTGGCCAGGTTTCCCCCCTCCCCCATACCTCCTTAACTGATCGGGTGCAGGCAAGGCATGGCTGTAATTAACTTCTTTCCATCTACACTTAATACCTCAGAGCAATAACAAAAAATTAGGATGTTAAAATTTCAAACACTAAGTATGGGCTGTTATATTTACTAAACATAGCAGAATAATAACAAAAGTTGCAGCTTTTCAGTGACTAGCACTACAGGATTTGATTTACAAAGTCTCTGCCCCCCTTACACTCACTGTATTACATAACAGTTAATAGCGCACTAAAATAAAATTCAATATGTGCATTTATTACCAAACACATATGACAAGACTGCATAAGACTGCCTGCTTTTCCAGCACAGGTATTGCTTCTGCAGAGATCAATGATTTCCTCCCCTTCCCCATTCCCCCCCCCCCAATTAAGTTGTATAAATATCACAGCAGTAGACTTCTAGAAAGGAAATATACAGCATCTGAATATCCCACTTTCAGAAGTCACACTGTAAATACTGGGTAGACTCATATTTCTTTTAGTTACTTTCCTTCAGCTATATTTTCAAGTCTGGCAAAAGGAATAATATTGAGAGCTGCATTAGTACCTAATATACTGCTGCCACCACCACCACCACCCTACACATACACATAAAACACACACACAATGTAGCTTGATACCACTTAATAAGAAGAGAGGTGTATGGATTTTGGGGGTGTCAAATAGCTGTCACAAACTGTCACCTCCACAAGAGAAACCTTGGCACACAACAAATTAAACTACACTTCTTTTTAGCTGTCATTATTCATAGCCAATCAGTTGAAATGCTTCTAGTATTTCATGTGCAAATAAAACCAGGGGGAAGATCCCTGGATCAGAACAGTGGGCCAACAGATAAAACAGAGGAAACAACACGCTGTCTCTGTCCTTCTGAAGGGGATCATCAACACCCCTGCACCAATTTTCACCAAATGAGATCTAGCCTGGGGCTATGTATTAAATATGCATATCAAACCAATGAAAAAATAACCTGGAGAGTAAAACTGGACAAATTTGCATGCTTGAACTATTCCATTTTTAGGTAGATGCTCACAAAAGAACATTTCAATTTTTATTCTGGTATTTGCATACCGACGAATAGAAAAGGTTTTCCTTCTTTAGAAGTAGAAGTGAATTATTCCTTAATATAGAACAGCGCAGTATATACATTCCTTAATATAGCCGCTAGTGAAGTGTGTATATATATATTGAAGAGATCCAAAGTTTTGGTGGGAAAACAATCTAACATTAAAAAAAAATCCAATAAGGAGACACATTTCCCAAAACGCATGAATAAAATGTAACTATGATACAACTCTTCATTTCCCAGTTGGTGTTCTGGTTGCACAAATTATTGCTTCCTTTCAAAACAAATAGCAGGGGGCTAAAGTAAAAAATGTTATAGCTCAAATCTCCAGGAAATAAAAGGCTTTAAATTATAATACCCAATGAAGTGGTAAACCCTAAAGGGTGCAAGATAAATGGGTTGTCATATTTATTTGAGTTTGTTTTTTGGGCCACAAAAACAACAGGAGATTCTTCTTAGTGAAGATAATAGTTATCAAATTATCAAAATGCTAACCCCTTCCAACCTTGTCCTATCATTGTGTGTGAATTTAAATATTATAATGGAGCACTGCAAATTGGCTTGAGTATTCGCCATCTGCCAGAACCCTAAACAGGCTAGTTTATCTAATCTCTTCAATATAAACATCAGCGTGGTCCATTTCTACACTTCCACTTGAAACACACTCTTGTAAAGAAACTGTACTGGAAAAAACATGTAGTTTTTTGTATTGCTCTGAATTATACAGAATGAGCCTATATCTTTCAGGTTGCCACTCATTTAAATTTCTTTTCTACTAGTCCCTTAATGCTTGTGCATACAAATTTAGGGTTGAAAATGCCATAAAACAGATATTTTAAAAACTACTGTCATGCCTCATAGACTCTATTATCTACAGATGAGATAACTGATAAGCAGAGAAACTTTCAGTAACTGCTGCATACATTTTTATTTGAAAATAATAAGTCTAAAATGCATACTATCATAAGAATATAGCCCCTCAAGGTTTACCAAATACAAATGAAGAATTGAAAGCTAAAACCTGGAATACAGAAACCATTTTCAGTGTCCTGGAACTTTAAGCACTCCGGGTTGGAGACTTTTTTAAAATATATTATTTTATTTCTTATCATGGATTTCAATACAGATCAAATACGATTATTAAATATGCAGACAACCTATTTTAAATATGAAAAGAAGCTCATAGAAACCTGATTCTCTATTAATTTAAATCTACATTTTTTACCACACAAGAAAGGACAGCTGGGCGCCTGTGCAGAGTATGGTTAAGACACACGGGGTGTTAAATGAATATTTCAACGGCTAAAATATTAGATGTATCATTTAGATTATGAGTTCAATTGAACCTAAAACTGTGTAAACCTCTTTCTCCCCAGGGATGCATTCCTATAAATAAACTATAGTTCACACCCACTCTTTTTAACCATAGCTATTTCGTTCCCTTTTCTCCGCTACCAGCTGCAATCTTTTCTTTCATTTCCCCCACTGTAAATGTCTATGTATTTGTATATACACATTCTAAAGCATCACAAGATCTGCACCAAAACACAAGCCGGAGAAGAAAAGCCACTCTTCTTATCATGAGCACCAACGTTTAGTCCTACACACATAACAATAACTCACCAACTACTAAAGTGTTAAAATCAACCGCTAACCTACGGTTACTCAATCATAATTCTCTCCAGCTTTCTGTAATACTTTGTTAATAATTGGTTCATCAAGGTTACTGTCTTTTATTATGAAGATGCTTCGGGCACTTGGCAATAAGTCCATATTCTGACAATAAGTTGCTATAAAGCAAAAGCATTGGAAACTTCAATGTGTTAACCCTTTTCTTAATGCAGTGTAAAACTGCCAATAATTCTCAGCACTTGTCATCTGCACAAGGGGGGGGGGGGGGGTAGAGATTGTCACCAAACTTTCCCCCTAACTTTTTCGACTCTGTTTTCTTGCATTTCTGCATTGATTACAGGGTTGGCAAAGCAGAAAAAGCACCGATCACCACATCAAACAGACAATTTGCTAGCGCTGCAAGTCGCCCAGATCAGGAAACTTAACAAATCATAAGCAAACTCCCTGTGCTACAGATAGAATGAGAAGGGGGGGGGGGGGAATCGACTATAGGAAGAACTTTAAAACTCGTAGGGGAATGGGGAGGGGGCAGAGAGAGACTTACACAGGCTAAAAAAAGGCGATTCCTAAGCAGGTTAGAGTCTTTAAAAATGCTATAAAGGGATCAAGAGGACTTACATGGTCGGCTAAATTTGTGGAAGATCCTGAGAGTTCTTCATGGTCAGATTTGGAGCTGCCATCCCTTTCGTCAATAACTAGGTCGATTGGCATTTTTCCTTTCAAACAACTAATGTACCTATGGCAAAAGTTATCGCACAACTCGTGGACCTGGAAAAAGAAAGGAAGGCAAAATATCGGATTGCAGCTTTTCTTTTTCTTTCTTTTTCTTTCCTTCTTCTTCTTCTTCTTTTAATTTTATTTTATTTTTGTAGCAAGAGAAACTCTGTGATCTATTCCACGAGTAACTCTAATTAAGGGACATAAAAGTTGAAGACAAGGAAACAATAGAGAAATTGTTGCAGCACATATTATTCTCTAGAGACTGGCCGCAGCAACAAGTGAGAGAGAGAGAGAGAGAGAGAGAGAGAGAGAGAGAGAGAGAGAGAGAGAGAGAGAGAGAGAGAGAG